AGAATATAGTTTCACTTTAACAAAACTAACATTAAATCAATTTAAGAAGCCATTACATTGTTTATTAATAGCTAACTTGCGATATAATTGCATGGGAATTCTGCTAATCTGAGAGGGGCAGCTCTATTGATTCAACAAGTGAAAACGCGTGCACAACAATAAAATTCGTTGTTCATTTACTGAACGAAAGCTATTAAGACGTATTCAATGGCTCATTTCGCGTCGTCTCCGATTAATTTAAAGCTCGCATTGCTGAATTATTGTACGATAAATTATTGTCTTCTTTAGGAATTGCACAATAGCCAGATTACTTTAATAACCCATTCACATCTGATGAAAGATACAGCTAGTTGCATTTGTCTTTGTCTTCCATTGGAAGTTAGTTTTCAATTAATCTTGAAAATAAAGGAACTAACAAAAGACAACCCTCACTTAACTCATTATTATTTCCGGACTGAACATTATGCAAGAAGTCAAATTATCTAGAAAAACCCATCCGCTCATTTGGTTTAGGATCATTAGAAGGCAAAGCTCACTTCCGCTGACACTGTTCCCGCCCCCCGAAAGTCTTGTTACTCTGTTGGATTGCCACGCCTTTAATGGATTTTGACTTATTAAGGCAATCTTAAAACGATAAGTGATCTCATTCGATTATTTCTAAACTATACAAGATATCGAAAAACTCGTTACTAATCCTGAAAGTGCTTCACAAGCTCTATCCAACGGTACCAATACTAGGTTACAGAATTAACTGGATCTATCCGAAAATTTAATGTTTATTGCTCCCATACTAAATGTATGCCAGCCAAACAATAGAAGTATTAATTTTTTTTATTAAATAATAAACACTTAAAATGAACTCGTAAATTGCATTCTTATTTAAAACTATTCGTGGAAAACATTGGTTTTAGGCTTTCCTTGCTATAATATTAACAAGACATGAGTGCCATGACTGTGGCTGTACTAAATGTATGGAAGCTGGAAACATTGAATTTTCGAATGGATCCAGTTTATTTTGTAACCTATTATTGATATCGTTGGATAGAGCTCGTAAAGCACTTTCAGAATCAGTAATCAGTTTTTCGATATCTTGTATAGTTTAGAAATAATCGAGTGAGATCACTTAACGTTTCCACCCTGTATACGCTTCTGCAATAACTTGTAATAGAACGCGCGCATGTGATCCTTTCATGAAACCACCATTAAGGGTGACGATTGTTTTTTATTAATCAAGGCGATATCAGTTTAATATTCAAGGAACAGGAATAATTTTCAAAGAAGAGCAAATGTGGAAGTATGGATGTTACATAAATACATGTAAATTCAAATTAACATCGGCTCATAATTGAACATTGGTGAGGAGGTACATTACATGCAACTTTACTTAAAGTTTTTACCTGGTATGCAAAATACTTATACAGGAAACTACATAGCAAAGTCTAGGAAACGGATAAATATTACCTTAAATATGTACCTAAATAAATACTTGTTTAAAAGACTTCTGATATAAAAAAAAACACGTACTTACCATAGTTGAAAAAGATCCTCTTCAAAACTCAAGCCGAAATCAAATCTTGCATCGTAGTCGTGTGCAAACCACCGGGCAGGTGGCCATCCATTCCCATCACTTCACCACGTGTAATATTCAGAATGAAAGACTTGTGGGCATCATCTGCGTGATACTTTTTCTTGCTCGTTGTTTTCTGTACACAAAGCAATGCCGTTTGCGGCTGGCTTGATTAAACTATATCTAGGTTACATCTACGATCGTTGATGGTTATCTCATTTTCATACTAATACTCGTTCCACTCCAAATGCAAGGTTGGCTCACGTTTATTATAAAATGTGTGTACATTGTCTCTGCTATTATCATTTCAGTTTGAAGAAGTTAGAATTAAAATCATAACGTTGTTAAAAAATCTCGGCTAAAAATAATACGTACCTACTAACTTAAATGAACGTAACGATAAAACTGGAAAACAACTTACAAAAACGAAAACGATTCGACTAACGAAATACTGAAAAATGGGATGTGGAAAACATATAAATACGGAAATGTCACTATTTTGGCATAAAAGTTATCTAGAGTCATAAAGCCACGTAATGCAGATAATATCATACCTAGTAAAGTCAACGACTGCTTAATTTTAACTGTAATGGACTTGTCGGGACCAATAAGAGGTTTATAATATTTCAGTCAAAAGTGAAAATTATAAAATAATTACTCAAACACATGCCATCACGAGCGAAGTTGCCAATGGATCAAAAATACCCACTAAAAACTGCAATAGTTATACATAGTGTTTAAGTCACAACTTTCCTCTGTCTGCGTGGAAGAATTCCTAAACTTAATTAAGTATCCGAGAAGATAATAGCTACTTGTGCTTGTTACAGTTAAGTAGATGTCATTATACAGCTGATCTAATTTCTATCTTGGCTCAGATAATAATTGCAAAAAATGCACCCAAGATAATTCTTGCAAAAACGCTGTCAGCCTCTAAATATTGATCACATTGACTTGCAAATTGTAGTTTAGCGATAGACAGAAAACGAAAGTTTTCAACAAAGTTACAACTCACGTTGGTTTTTGTCGATCATCTCGTGTGAAATCTGTGCATGGCTTTTTATGAATTTTAAATGATTTAAAGAGTCCCACGATCGGTGCATTGGATTCACGTTAGGTGTAAATGCCCCTCAGCGAATGTCTCATCGGTTAATTAAATAGAGATTTCTCGTTCATTGTTTAGTTTCAGAATTATGCGAAAATGCTTTCAACACAACTTTTACAATAATTTAATATACTTCAACTGTTGTAAATAAACATTTCTTTACAACATCGACGCAACGTTTTTCTTTACATGTAAATGCATTAGGCAGTATCTCACCAATAATTTTATTATTGGAAAATTTGTATCTCCCTACAGCTTTCTACAAAATGAAACTGAGTTTACCGATTAACTTCTACGTCAAAAACTCAAGAGAGAAAGCCAGTCAAATTATTTTTAGTAGATTTTCTAGATGGTCAATAACAAATGTTTTCGCTGTTTCAGCAAAGTGATTAAATAAACTTCTGAGCAAAAATTTATTATATTATCAGTAATTGGAGCTGCTTTCACTGGACGTTGATCAATGAGCTCTTAATTTGATGATGTCGTCTATTCTTCAGCTGAGGAACGAGTGATGAGCATTTTGACAGAGCAATTAACAAACTAAACGAGAGCTCGCAAATAATGGGCTGGTTAGTGTGTAGGACGAAACTTGTTATTGAGACGTCAAACTTGGTACTAGCCCGTCGATCATGGAGGCTAACAATTTTAATTATTTCCTAACGGACAATTAAAAACTCGAGAACAAATGATTTTAACAAATATTAATTACAGCTAGGCCCTCCCAAAAGAAAGTAAGTCTTAGTCACAGTAATTAAAACTTACTAGGAAATAAACCAGGTTAAGTCAAACCCACGAATGTTAAGTCCTCCGAGACAAAGGATATGCTATCTGAAGACTTCATGAATTTTATCCTACCAAAGTAATATAGAAAAGTATACAGAGTCAGAGATATGCAAATTCCAGGAAAATGAGAGATAGATTTATTTTGATTAAACTGTAAGAACCCGCGCTGCCATTTATTTACAGTTATTGGATAGGTAATGCAATCACCGCGTTATTCAAATGCAACTGTACAATTGATTAAATAAACATACATTAAATAACAGTTGCACATGTATATTGATAAGTTAATGAGCAAAGACGAACGAAAGTGATTTTTTATGGGCGCGGCGCGACTTGGCTGAAGGCTGTAGGCTGTAAGGGCTAGCGGAACACCCATTGAGCTGTTACAATGTTTATGGTTATGGATATATTTTATCGAGCCACTCTGTTGTCCCACATTCGTCGCGTTTCTTCGCGAGCGCTTAATTGAACGCGGCCGGCACCTACTACAGTCTATTATTATAATATCGCCGCAGATTACAGAAAATAGAAAATGCCCGAGGGCCCGCTTTCTTGCGGGCAACCAGGCTAGTTACAGGCAGGTGGCCGCGACCGCTCACAAAAAATCAATCTGGACTTGATACGAGCTATTTCTAATTTCAACGTATGAAGGTACGGTTTATTTATTCGTAACAGTATGGTTCCATTGAATGAATATTGTTATTAAACTAGAACATCGTCTCAATGAGATGCGGACGCAGCGCACGGCCGATTATTTTTGTTACGGAATGAGACGTGGAATCATATCTAACGGTGTTGAGACAGTCGAGCATATTCTTGCATCGACAGACGAGAGTTCGTGCTTTCTAACCAGCGAGCGATCGAGTGTCTGGAGTGAAATCGCCAGAAGCCTCGCCGCCAGCGCCGCGCCCGCGCCGATAGCGTGCACACGTCGCGCATAATATGAATCGAATCTTTTTCTAAGTAAAGAAAGTAAAAAAAATAACTCGTTCGTAGACTTCTAGAACGTCGATGAACTTGTGCATCAGAAGCTATCTGTGTTATAGCCGTAGACGCGGTATTGATAATGTAATTAAGTAATCATTAAAAATAGACCCTCGATCCATTAAAAACAATCCGCAGATCTTACGGTATCGACTATTATTTTTATTAAAGGCCCAAATCGTTCCGAAAAAGCCGTTTAACCCAAATAATTTAAATACAATACATATCCTCAATCGCAACTGCAATAATGGTATTCAATTTGCAATGCACTTATAAAGGCGACCTTGCACATAATAAGGTGAAGGCCGCGCGCGGTTTCCTCTCGACGCAACGGGAGCGGCGCGTGCAGTGAAAGATGCGGCCGGTGCAGTTCCGGCGCTGCACTCGGTCAGTGGGTCAGCCCCACTCGCGCAGGTGGGGCCCCCAGAGCGGGGGGGCCGGTGTGCAGTGCCCCCCGTGGTAGCCGCTGAGATGGTCGGGTCCGCGCCCGCGCGCTTCTAGCGCCCATGACCCACCGCCCGCGCCGGGCCCATGCTAGTGCTCACATACGTGTTTTGGTTGCAGGCCGCTGACTGACATTGGACTGTGACTATGAAGAGGACCAGGATACTGCTGGCGATCGCGACGCTCCTGTTACAGGTTGGTTCGGTTTTAAATTATTTTTTATTTTTAAAATGATCAATCAAATTCTTATTGAATTAAAACTGAATGAGTAGTGCAAATATTTTTTTCTAATTACGACGAGTGATGACTCAAGATTTTTTTTTGCTAATAGAGCAAATAAAGCATTTTTTGCAGCTTGCATGTGGACAATTTTTTTCTTTAATTCCGATAGTAAAGTGGTGACTTAACAGTATTCCGTGCAGTGATTGAATCATAGCAATGATGATGATAATAGGCATAACGCGGGTTTGTGGGGCTGCGTGCGTTGGGATACCGTTCCGAGTCGGACGCAGCGGCCACGGGTAATAGCGCCCCTAACTGACCAGCGGAATGACACAACACTTTTCGATAAATTAACCACAATCATAAAGACAATATTTAAAAACATATCACCAGTAATTATATTAACAATTAACTGTCACGCATGACCAATTTCACGACTGCTTGTAAATTCGGAAACGGAATTGATCATTTATAAATGAATTTTATAAAATAGGAATTCATTTTAATTGGTTTTAATTACAGAATTAAAATTAATCAAGTGAAAAGTATCATCTATTTCCTCTGCGTCCAATTTAGTTTTATCAGTTTAGAATCATATATTACATAGCCAATAATAACATAGACGTGATTATACCGTGTAAGAATTAACAAGTCATATTTCAGCGTCAACACACAACAGTATCTTAAACTTTTGAAACAAGGCTGCGTATGTTCCTCCAGAAAATAAGTGATGTTTTATGATGCAGAGAGTAATTTGTACGGCCGAGTAAGCTTGTTATTGTACACAAATTAGAACCCACAGTGTTTGTGATAGAGGTGTTATTAGATCGGTGTGTGGAGATGCAGTGGCGTGCGCTGCAGCCCACCGCTCGCTCTTGAATAATTCAGCTTTTTCCGCTCATGTTCGCGGCAACTAGGCTAATGATTCCGTTAGCACATCCACAAAACACCGGACTATCGGCGGCTAACTGCGTATGCTTATTTATCCAATTTCTAGAGACATCAATTCTTTAAATGGAAATAGAGCAAGTACTGAACGCTGGCCGTAACGCGATGGGAGAAGTTTTAACTTTTGAAAAAAGTAACCGAAAGCGTCCGAGCTTACTGTAGTTTTATTTATCGTGGTAAAATACATTACTATCGTTTAAAATGACAACCTATGTTTCAATCGTCTTATCTTTTCTTAACTCCCGAAATGAAAAATGAAAAAAAAATGTCATTTATTCTAATTTTGGGTTTTAATAATCTTCAAAACTGTATGGAAAATGTAAAATGTCAACTTTCCTTGTTATCTTTTGGTCGAAGATACGAAACTGAGATACACACAATTTGCATAAGCCAAACGTTTCGTTTCGCGGCGCGGAGTCGTCGACCGTCGAAATACCCTTCAAGAACACTTTCACTATGGTTTCGCATCTTTCCACGCTCTGACGCAATTGCCATGCCCAATTTCTTGAGTGACATCACTTAGAAATTCTCCAATAATATTTAATATTACTGTTAGAAATAACTTTTAATTTAATCATTAATTTATTATTTGAAAAACGTTCTAACATAGATTCTATATCAACTTAACAAAATGTCAAAGTTAGGCATCATTAGGAGACCTAAAACGGCTCTAGTCTTATAGCATGATAAATAATTAAATCAAAAACAAGTGAACTTCAGAAAAGCGTCACATAAAATGAAATTGTAATCGACAGACTGAAACATGCAATAAAAATAGTTCACAATAAAACGCGTAAAACGTTGATGCGTAAAATTACTCTACAATAATTTTCAAAAAAACTGCGAATCTATTTACAAAAATCTTTACAATAAACAACAATGCACACTTTCATTGAAGACACAAAGCGTAATAGTGTCGTAACTTTGGTACTGCCCAACTCTTTCCATTGAATTCGCGTCATTGTGCTCGCTATCGATAAAGGCATTCGATTCTTACCACTATTACGTTAGAGTCGTGTCGATATTCATCACGATTAGATCACCATCGGTTAATTTAATCAATCAGTGTCAGCGTCTGACTGACTCGTTAGCGATTATTCGCACTCGTTATATCTACTTATAAGTTATCTTGCCTATATTTAGACTGATTGCTAACGAACATAATTAATAATTAGAAGAACCGTACGAGATGACACTTTCTATGTAATATTGTGAGCTGTATGTATTAATAATAAGTTTACAGGATTATTACTGTAACTACGGGATCGAGATGATTTATTTTACTGGTTTTTTGAGCGACTGCGTGAATAGGCTCTCTGTTCTACACACAATTAGCGCAGCCAGCCATGGGCAGAAGTCACTCTACCAGAAATAAATAACAAGAAAAGGGTTTCAAAAATGATCGACGGAAAGATAACACGATTATGACTAAAGCCGTTTTTAGACATAAAGGTAAACGTATCGGGTTGAAAAAAAAATGAAAATGAAATATTTTATTACTTGCGTTAGTGAAACATCTGATGTGGAATTGTGTAAAGCAATCGTTATCATTTGACAGTTCATAAGGTACGATTATTCTGTCAAACGCTTTGTTTAACCGACTTTATCGTACGTTATGAACTGTCAAATGATTAAGATTGCTTTACACAATTCCACCTCTGATTTTAATTGAACTTATTGTACAGCAGACTGCACAGTGCACTGCAAGATAGAGCCGTAGTTAGTAAAAAGGGCAAGCTAAATAAACCGTTCAAAGAAAGATAGATGGAGAAGCCTACGTTGCAAAACCTTTACAAAGTTATACCACTGCATAGAGTCCATAAACCAAACAAAACTTTCAACGAACAGTGACAACATTGCGTTATGCATTCAAATATTTATCAAATTCCAGTTCAAAATCAACTGGTGCAATGTCGAAGTTGTACTAACTCATCAGTAAGACACAACTTCACTAATTCGTGTTAGAAAGTGCTTGTATTGTCAAAGAAAGTGTAAACGGACACTTTCATTTGAGTTGTCGATACTCTATTGTAATTACTCGGATAATCGGAAGAATCGATCTGTTCTGCAAGCTATGGGCGCTGAATGAGCAGTTATAGTTAATTTATACAAGTAAAAGTTTCATTAACTTCTCATCATTGTTTAAGTAATAATTTACATAGTTAAAGAGAGTAAAACATAAAAAATCTAAACTTTAAATCGAATCGAAATAATAGAATTAAAGATTATAATTAATCAGAGAAAAAACATCCTCTTTGATCGATTGCTATTCTAGATTTACACGGAAATATACATAGTTACTATGTAAGGGCTTCATAAACATGTGCTCACAAATGGTCAAAAGTTGAACTAGCTCCCATACGTCATGCAATGCTTTCCCATCCCAAGGGAAAGTGTTCGACCGTGCCCTTCGCGCGCAGTTCAAGTTCAAGACTATGCGCCGATCGCGAGATAAACGCGCGACGTACCGTACCAACCAGTGATCGATTACGTTCCGATTACCGCGCATTCTGACCCGTGCTCAACGCATGTAATTATTTTTAATGCCGATTTTCACTTGTCTCGACCATTTGTCAAAAGCGTGCCCATAACTTTAACCAGCATCACCATCATTAACCATTAAATACTTGCTTTCCCACGTAAGACAATCGTTTAAACGTTAAGTATACTCAAAACACAAATTAAGTTGCTCTATTCCCTCTATTTTTAGAATAAGGGCCAGTTTAAATCGCACATGAGAAAATCTAAAAACATAAACAATGTAAGATAGAATCTACCGTGTAAACGAGACTTTTTATCTAATTCGCTAGCAGTTAGAGTCTGTATGACTACAAACAATGATCGCAAATCTCGAAACGTGATTGTAAATCTGAAATGACTGTCACGTTTCATAAAGCAGTCATTAGTGCATGTGGGGCAGGTTAGTTACTGCGTAGGAAAGCTCTTAGCACAATTAAGAGCATCAGAGCAGATGCAGGCATGCAGGTCGCGATGCACGCACTCGGGCACACTTCCCACGTCCCGCCAGCAACAATAGTGCGCATCTTGTGGGACATGTTTCGAATACTGCAACCAAGTGCACCGATCACATCCCGGAAGTTATTGTTATGAATGCTGAGACGATGACATTGATGGCGCCATTTTGTAGCAATATTACCATCTCAGATGTCAAGCGGAAAGCCGCAAATGATCTGGATATCCGAATAAAATGTCATAACCATATCTTACTACTGACACAAGTTTTTAAATTGTAAAAATGACTAACTATTTTATAAATAGTTTTTACTGAGTCGTTGAAGTCTTTTCTATCAAGATTGTTATGTAGAAGTCCTCAAGCTATGAGATATTAAGATGTCATATCAAGAATTTCCTACAAATAACTTTTTTTTCAATATTTTGACAGTGACATCTTTTGTAGGATCTTGATTTTTTATGTATATCCGGCACAGTAAGATTACATGCGCCTTGTTAGATGAGCTATCAAGATTAATAGCTTGAGTGTACAAAGAAGTTAATAAATATTTGTGTGTATAGAAGTGAAACGAAAATTCCTAACGGGCAAGCCATTTTCTAAAGGACCTTTGAATCAGCAGATTATCAAAAACATAAATAACCTCGACCTTGTTAGGATTCGCAAACACCTTGGAACGCAAACAAAAATCCGGTTCCACCAATTTCACGTTCATATGAACAACTTTCATCTGCGTTGTACCAATTTTCGTAGTGTAGGTATAAGGTGTAAGTGGACAGGTTTCTTTAAAGAAGCCATTTATTTCATGGGTTATGTAACCACGCACTTTTACTTATAATATGATGTGGACCGAATTCGTTTGAATCTTGTTTTATGAATCAACCGTGAGAATGTCTTGCTACGCTTGTTATTCACATGACTGAAGGTTAGACTATTAATTCTACAGATAGGCCCGGTAAAAAGGAATTACTTTTATGTTAGCTGAACTTCTTATGTGGCCGACATAACCAGTGCTTAATTTGAGAAAATATATTTTTTCTTACTTTACATAACAATCTATCCCTGAGGATAGTATGTACCTATAGTATATGCAGAATTTCAAATTCATATTCATTTATTTATTGCATCACATGATTTCTACACATAATTAGTATTTATTAGTAGGTAATTCTAGGAATAGGATTTTGCGCTGTCTTATAATATAATGTCCCGTGCGTGATTAAGTACCTACGTGTATAAATATTGTTCATTTAATGGAATGTTAACTAGAACAATACTACAATTATTAACATAAAATACCACAATTATTCACATAATTTGTTTCAATAAACTCTAAGGAAAGTGAGCACTTAGTGATGATGACACAACACCATATTGCGATAAATATTATTTAATTTGAGGTAATTAAACAAACGCGTAAGATAATTATTATGTAGTTTTTTTTTAAATTGGTGTGTTTTAAATTGATGTGTGTGTGCTTAAACATAATTATGAACTTTTTGATAATCTTTATTATTGTACCACTCAATGCGAAATCATATTTAGCGCAATGATCTGTTGATTGAGACAATGTAAAATGACACCTCCAGCCTCCCATGTATGTCCCACCCAGTATGACAAAAAGAATAAAACACCCACAAAGCTAAAGCTAGTTAAACAGTTCACCTTTTTACGCTTAAGTTAAATCTTAACTAAATTATTTCGTTCCCTTCTTAGATGTCGTAGTCTTAGAACAAAATAACGACTTAAGATTTTTTCTAATACGTGACGATCGATTGTGCATATCGCATCGAATCGATTTGGATAGGGCTACGAGTTAGTGAAAGACATAAAAGTGCGCAATGTGTGTTTTTTTAGTGATAACTGTGTTACTTGTACCACAGAATACATAATAGTAGCAACAGAAATTGCACTCCTTTGTGTAGGATCAGATGCCGACATTTTAACGGTAATAATAATAATGCAAAATATCCAACGCACATGTTGCATTCGAAATCGCACCTTACTACTACGCTCACAAGAGCGCAATTTTTTTGTGTTCAGAATTGATGTACCTCGCAGCTCAAGCGTCAGGGTTGTAGGTATAAGCAAAGTAAAATAAATAAAAACTTAATTTTAAGAAGCATTTATTGTATTTACGATTAGTAAACTTTAATCTTGTGGTGTTTGTATAATCGTACCATTCTAAAGTACCTATTAATAAACTTAAGTGTTGCGATAATTCGAAATTGTACAAACAGTTTTAAAAGATTTAGTGTCTTTATTATTGATGATAAAGTTAATGTTTTTATTAACTAAAATATTTTTTTTACTACAGTCTTTTGTCATAAGTATTTCAAAATTATTTAAAAAGTGTGTTTTTTTTTTTAATTATTTCAATTACTACAGTTGATTATTATTCCTAAATATTACGATTTTCCATTAAAGAAGGATAACAGTGCTGTTGGAACAATAAACCTTGATTGCGACGATGATCGACCGAGCGAGTATAGGTACGCGTGTGTACACAGGCGCGTGGCGGCCCTGACTGATTTGCAACTTGAAGTTGTCGCGCGCTGTAGGTAATTATCTCGGCCGCCATAGGCGAGTGACGGAGGCCTGCTTGTACTACAACCGGAGTAGTATTGCTGTGTTATAGCAGTGCCTCTTGCCCTCCGAGTATCCACGGAAGACCAGCGTCGTGGTGTCCCTTACGACACCTCGACATGATGCTGAGTGGATACCGTTTCGGTGACACGCACATTACCTACTCTCTTTATTTTTGTTAAATATTTTTGATGCTGTTTTGTGTCGCTGAATAAAATATTTCATTTTCATTTTCAATTGGATTGTCTGTGACCGTTGAATTCATTTTATTTGAAAAAAATTTTTAGCAAAGAAACGTTGGAAAAGGGAATAAAAAACGCACATTTTGGGGTTTTTGGAATATCCCTTGCGTATGGGGGGAAACGGATGCGGTGAAGCGATACTTTCACCTGCGCCGCACCTGCCGATACATTATAGCGGCGCGCGCGCATCTTCCAAGCATTATCAATTACGGTGCAGATTCTATGCAATCTTAGCTGATAAATGGGAATATCCTGTCATAGTACGTAATTACAGTGAGAGCCTAGTTAGTGTAATCCAATTTAAATCTAAAAAAAAAATATGATACACTCACGGGTATTGTGAATTTATGATACTTTTTAATATTTATGTAATAATGACTCGTACCGACTATCAAATTATAACCCAGCCCCAAATTACGTAGAGCTTTGTTATGGAATAGAAAATAGAAATAGAAAAAACTTTATTGACAAAGTATGCTTTACATTTACCATATGACAACTAAGTACAATGGAGTTCTCCCACGCTCAGCATTTACCATGAGTAGGTATGCTCACAAGGGGGATGATAAAGACGCGGGAGACACTCCCTCTTGGAGTAGTACCTATCGGCGGACAGAAGGAAAATGGAACTTCAAGAACATTCAAGAAAATCTAAATATATTTATCGATTACCAGAATATCGAGCTAAACGACCTTCGCGAGAGTTGTCAAAGAAAGCTCTATTTGTCAAAGCGTGCATGTTTATAGGTCCAGTGTTTTCTTCCGCAATTGACAATCTCGATCAGTGGGTAATTTCTAACCGGTTTAGAAAACGTTAGCTCCAGGCAACACTGTAGCAGTTTAGCCCGTAAGCTACAGAGATAAAAGCTAGATTTGCTTAGAGTAGGGGATCTTTGAGTATTGTACATGATGTACAGACATGCAACCCACCACTTGCACCTATTCTTGGCCACATATATGGACCACCTGTCGTCGCTCTCGCCCCATATACTCGTACCTTCATTCAATTAATACCCAAATACAGAGTTTCAAGTTTTACAGGGACATACTGCTTTCCCTACTTTCGTGTTTGAACAAAATTAAATTATCGCATCTAAATTATCTCAAAAACAAGACGTGATTACGTACATCCTACTAAGCGACTCTATATTCATTTTAAATGTATTTCTTGAAATGCATTTGTGTAGATTTTTTTGTGAAAATAACTTGATTTTACTCAAGACACGTTAACACAATTTCATCTATTATAAAGTTATTATCGTTATAATTTCAATTGTTAAATTGTCCGCTGAATAATTCTAGTAAGAATGTAACAAACTATCGTGAAAGCAGCCGCGGAACTCATCTCGGCTGTATGATTGCGCTGATTAATATTATAATTGCTTGCGCGAGCTATCCATCAGTGTAGAAAGTAGGAAAGAACGCACTGCTACGAGATCGCGGCCCGCGGCGCACGCGCCTGCGCGGGAAGTAGACTGAGACGCAGGAATGCGCGGCTCTGTACACAAACCACTAAACGGACACATAACTCATCATTAAAGCAAAACACGTCCAATCCGCTATTTATCCAACCTCGAATTAACACCAACGATAACAATTTTCCACAGCTTAGGTTTCATTGATGCCAATTGCGGTGACTTATAATAATCTAACTAAAATTACGTTTGTCTCATTACAGGATGCAGTTTGCGAGCCACCTGTGGATTCGGCTTCGTTGCCCCTAGAACACCGAGCGGGCGGCGGCTACGGCCCGCCGCTGCCTCCCGCCCACACAGACGACCCCTGGCCCCTCGCCACGCCCGACAGTCCGAAGATAAAACACCTTCAAGTTCAGTGCGAGAAGACCCACATGCGGGTCAATATAGAGTTCGACAGACCATTCTACGGCATGATATTCTCCAAAGGGTTCTACAGCGACCCTCACTGCATGCATTTAAAACCTGGTACCGGTCATCTGAGCGCGACGTTTGAAATCTTCCTCAACAGCTGTGGTATGTCGAGCTCTGCGAACCACAACGTAGCCAGTTACGGAAGCCCAACGCCCAGTGGCTCCTACGTGGAAAACACGATTATTGTACAATACGACCCTTACGTTCAAGAAGTATGGGATCAGGCACGAAAATTACGATGCACGTGGTACGACTTTTACGAAAAGGCAGTCACATTCAGACCCTTCCAGGTGGACATGCTGCATGCCGTCACGGCTAACTTTCTTGGCGACAACCTGCAGTGCTGGATGCAAATTCAAGTCGGAAAAGGACCCTGGGCCTCAGAAGTGTCTGGTATTGTCAAAATTGGACAGACTATGACAATGGTGCTCGCAATTAAGGACGACGAGAACAAATTCGACATGCTCGTGCGAAACTGCGTAGCACATGACGGCAAAAGGGCACCTATTCAATTGGTCGACCAATACGGATGTGTGGTCAGGCCAAAGATTATGAGCAAATTCCAGAAGATAAAGAACTTCGGTCCTTCTGCTTCTGTTGTATCATTTGCTTACTTCCAAGCCTTCAAATTCCCCGACTCAATGAATGTGCACTTCCAGTGTGTCATCCAGGTTTGCAGATATAATTGTCCTGAGCCAAAATGCGGCGGCCTCGGAGCAGATTATGGAGTGCCGCTGCTCGGTGGCAACTCACTGAGCGCTGGAGAATACGGCGTACCTAACTCGCCTCACGCTGAGTATGGACCGCCACCACAATCGCCACACTCAGAGTACGGCGTGCCCCCTGCGTTCCCAGACCCGAGACATCCCGCGGACGCCACGGGAGCTTTCTCGGAAAAGCGAGACGACGCCGTGCCGCCACCCCAAGCGCAAGTGTCCTCAACGCCAAACGCACCTAGTCCCTCATCGCCCGCGCCCGCGCGCGAGGACGACGAAGTGAACCTACCGCCGCCACCGCCGCCCGGCCGCCGCGGAGTCTACAACACCGTCAAGAGGAAAGACGAGGGCCACGGGAACCTAGCGACGCTGGGCGGCCGCCCGCGGTCAGTGGAGGACTTGCCAGAGAGATTGGTGGGCGTGAGGAGACGACGAGAAACGTCGACGCCGACGAGGATTTACAAGCGCGACGCGCAGGAGATGACGGACGTGAACACGAGTCGCACCATCCAGGTGGTGGCGCCGGGCGACGTGAACTTCGCGCTGAACAACGCCGCGGGCAACGAGACCGTGGTGATCCAGTCGCCGGCGTCGGACCCGGAGACGATCTGCATGTCGGTGCCGTCGTTCGTGGCGGGGCTGGTGATGCTGCTGCTGGTGCTGGTGGTGGCGTCGCTGGTGGCGGCCTTCCTGTTCGTCCGCGTGCGCGCGCTGGACCGCAAGGGCCACGGCGCCGCCGCCTACTACGAGACCGACTACGTGAAGCACACCAACTAGTGCCGTGCAGTGTGACGCCAGGACGTTCCATAAACTCTTCTCGGATCCAAAGAGCGCGCTTCGGCCCCGGCCGGACGGCGCGGCGCTGTCGCGGTCGCGATCGAAGCCCGGTGACATGTGAGTTATTTATTTAGTTCTAGTGAGCGTGATGTATATGTTCGACTGTTGTTTTGTAAATTATTTTATTCGTGTGGAAAGCACTCCCTGTACTGCCTTTATAGTCGATACGTCTGTTGTAATTTTGTAAAGAGTCGTAAGTAAGGAAATAGAAGTAAGGAAGTTGTATACCAATTAAAAAGTGTCGCGTGAGTGAAGTCTCGTTTATTTTTCCTGAACACAATAATAATAAATTCTTCCCAATTAAGCAGCGAGAGATTTCAACGCTTTCATCGAGCGTCTCAAACCGAGACGTAAGTAAATCATCTTTAGTTTCAATCAGATCTTGGAAACAAGAAACAGCGTATGGTAAGCAAAAGTGTGAGAAACGTAAGACATTGTTCTAAATGACGTGATCTAAATGTATTTATAACAAACAAGAGAACACTGAGCATTCTCCCACGTTTTAGTTGAAATATGGTTCATGAGACTTAGCGCCACTCTTTGTAGCTAATCGTTGCTAATTACACAAATGTAATCTACGCGTCAATGAAAGAAACAAGTTCATTACTAGTATAATTAAATTTATTTATAGAGAGAATATTCTAATACTTAAGCGTATGAAATAAATAAAGTAAATTTTTATAAATACAATAGTGGTCCTGTGCAGAAATGGGCCAAGATTTAGTACAATTATTAGAGTAGGGAAGAATGTTCGAGATCATTTCATTTTGATTCATCACAGCAACATTTCGTAAAAAATGAAAAAGCATTGACTAACTAAAACTGTGCTATAATTGTGTATCGAGTTCGTCCATTTTAAGAGCAACGTTTGCTTTGGTTGTATTATTAATTGGTTTAGAAATCAACTGATTTCCTCATTTTTATACAAGTAACGAATAGGGCTCTTAAAATGCAAGACAAAATAACGACCCATTTATGGATTGACAGCATTTATGGATCAAAAATGTCGAACAAACTTATGGTCGTAATATAGATAGAGCTTCCATAAAAGAGGATTTATCTAAATAATCTGAGTTATTTGAATAAAATGTTTCCGAGTTCCAATTTTCATCTATTCGATTAAAATTGTTTGATCCATTCATGCTAGCTTATTACCTACTCAAGTTGGGTCGTATTCTGAAAAGATATCTGAAGATAAAATTGATTTTTGCGAACTCGACTATTGATTCATTTCAATAGGCTAATATTCCGCAACGATGCTCAAAACTCAGTTGAACCTGAAACCTTTGATATCAATATCACCAGAGTATGATAGAGATTGCATCGAGTTTCGAGTATTGTATCGTAAATACGGGCCTAAATATTGAAATGCAATGCTTGAGCTACATGACATTCTTTTAGAAAAATAGCCAACAGAATTTTCGAAAAATATCATCATGACCAATAAAGAGTAAGTTTCCCACATGCACAGTAAAATGAATTTTACATAGTGTAATGAGTTGAATTTTAGCCTGGCTTTATACTGTATACGGATGAGTTCGCGTTTTACCTCCAGGGCACTTTCTTCGAGGCACCCATGGGCCGAGCCGGCTGAGTTTGCACCAGGTTGAGAGTCGACGTGTGGTCAGAGCGAGTGGGACTCCTGAATAGAACCCGTAGTTGCTTGTCGTTCTTCTCGGCGATTATGTTTATTAGGTCCTGTAAACAAAGTTACTGTCAAGATAAATAAGTTTATCAAAGCATAGGCTAACAAAGTAGGGACTTATAATATCAAATATTTATTACAAGTCTTGGCAAATATTATTGCAACGATTGAAATGATAATATTTCTTTAAATATGGAGGTGTAAATATTGTACTTTAGATAATTTGACTGATGCCTTATATTTTTTCGTTTTGTAACAAAACTGCAAAATTCGTAGCAAGAGTAAAATAGTTCGAGAGTGTAATCTAGAACTATCTAATCTACGTAAGTATACATTTTAGTAAATAAAAATACAGGACACATAACATAGGTACCACCTACATCCTAAAACAAAAGAGTCGTGGCTTTGTGCCTCGGCTCCTGCCCGAATAGATTCCACACTGGTGCCACGCTGGTAGGTTCCTCCTGCCACATATCTATTCTAGAATTAGATATAGTTACTTACATCGTTACATCCTGGAACAAAGGAGAAGCGGGTGCCGGCTGCTTCCGAGCTCGCTGCGTGTGCAAGGTAGTCGTGGCCGGGCATCGCAGACACGACGGCGTCGTGGCTTTGTGCCTCGGCTCCTGCCCAAATAGATCCCAAACCGTCCCTAAGCTAGGAGGCTCCTCTTGCCACGTATAGGATCACATATCCTAGAACCAGTTAAAGTTACTTACATCCTGGAACAAAGGAGAAGCGGGCGACGGCTGCTTCCGAGCTCGCTGCATGTGCAAGGTAGTCGTGGCCGGGCATCGCAGACACGACGGCGTCGCGTGGCTTTAGTGCCTTTCCTAGCCGAATAGATCCCACACTGGTGCCAGACTGGAAGGCTCCTCTTGCCACATACATAGCCTAGAACTAAATAAAGTTACTTACATCCTGGAACAAAGGAGAAACGGGCGCCGGCTGCTTCCGAGCTCGCTGCGTGTGCAAGGTAGTCGTGGCCGGGCATCGCAGACACGACGGCGTCGCGTGGCTTTAGTGCCTTTCCTAGCCGAATAGATCCCACACTGGTGCCAGACTGGAAGGCTCCTCTTGCCACATACATAGCCTAGAACTAAATAAAGTTACTTACTAATATTCTAATACTTAAGCGTATGAAATAAATAAAGTAAATTTTTATAAATACAATAGTGGTCCTATGCAGAAATGGGCCAAGATTTAGTACAATTACCTATTAGAGTAGGGAAGAATGTTCGAGATCATTTTTCATTTTGATTCATCACAGCAACATTTCGTTAAAATGAAAAAGCATTGACTAACTAGGTAAAACTGTGCTATAATTGTGTATCGAGTTCGTCCATTTTAAGAGCAACGTTTGCTTTGGTTGTATTATTAATTGGTTTAGAAATCAACTGATTTCCTCATTTTTATACAACTAACGAATAGGGCTCTTAAAATGCAAGACAAAATAACGACCCATTTATGGATTGATAGCATTTATGGATCAAAAATGTCGAACAAACTTATGGTCGTAATATAGATAGAGCTTCCATAAAAGAGGCTTTATCTAAATAATCTGACTCATTTGAATAAAATGTTTCCGAGTTCCAATTTTCATTTATTCGACTAAAATTGTTTGATCCATTCATGCTAGCTTATTACCCTGCTCAAGTTGGGTGGGTCCTATTCTGAAAAGATATCTGAAGAAAAAAATTATTTTTTTGAACTCAAGTATTCAAATCAGTTGAACCTGAAACCTTTGATATCAATATCACCAGAGTATGATAGAGATTGCATCGAGTTTCGAGCCCTGTATCGTAATACAGGCCTGAATATTGAAATACAATGCTTGAGTTACATGACTTTTAAAAAATAGCCAAAGGAATATTCGAAAAATATCATGACTCAAAAAAAGTGAGTTCGCACATACACAGTAAAATGAATTTTACATAGTGTAATGAGTTAAATTTTAGCCTGGCTTTATACTGTATACGGATGAGTTCGCGTTTTACCTCCAGGGCACTTTCTTCGAGACACCCATGGGCCGAGCCGGCTGAGTTTGCACCAGGTTGAGAGTCGACGTGTGGTCTGAGCGAGTGGGACTCCTGAATAAGACCCGCAGTTGCTTGTCGTTCTTCTCGGCGATTATGTTTATTAAGTCCTGGAAAGAAAGTGACTGTCAACATTTTTATAATATCGAAGAATAGGCTAGCAGAACTATAATATAATCAAAGCAGGCTCTTGTAAATATTACAAGTCTTGACAAATATTACGGCAATGATTAAAGTCGTAATTTTACTGATGCCTTAAATCAATGTCACATTATATTTGGGCTCCAGATCCTTATAGTTTTGTAATTATACCCTATAGAACGTACCAAAGAGTACAACAGAATGGACTAGTTCGAGAGTGTGTTTAAAATGCGCAAGATTAGGTACACATTCTAGCAAATAAACAATACAGGATCACATATCATAGGTACTTACATCCTGGAACAAAGGAGAAGCGGGCGCCAGATGCTTCCGAGCTCGCTGCGTATGCAAGGTAGTTGTGGCCGGGCATCGCAGACACGACGGCGTCGTGGCTTTGTGCCTCGGCTCCTGCCCGAACAGATCACACACTGGTGCCACACTAGGAGGCTCCTCTTGCCACGTAGGCAGAATCTCCGGCCTCCGTAATGCTGGCGTTTGAGTTGACTTGTCTACGAAAATCTTCTTTGGTCGACGTTTTGGTTGGTTGTGCTGTAAAGGTAATAAAAAGATAAATAAATAAATAAATTCGCATTCAAACTTTTTGTTTTCTTTCTTTATGAATTGACCATCTAAAAGATAATGCTCGTGTATGAAAATCCATAGGTGGTGCTAGTTTGCTAAACTCAGCGTTTTATGTTAAAATCCAGCACGATTTTTTTTTCCTTGTAGTGATCCGTATGTATAAGTTAGTTAAAAAATACATTAGGTATAGACACTCTGGATTGAACATTGTTCTTAGATGTGTTAATCATCAATTCACGCAAAGACAGTCTCAAAGAAAAGAAAGAACAGCGATACGATAATTATGCACTTACGCGGTGCTTCCGAGGGTCGGCAGTGTGCGAGCGACGTTCCGGCGGCTTGGAGCGGGGCGTTATGATGCTGTAGGTGCGACACAAGCGGGGCGTTCGCCAGGTGGGCGGTGGTGGTTGCGGCCGGGGCGTACGCCGCGTTTTTGACTTCGGCAACTTCGCTTCATAGGTTTGATACGGATTCTGGAAATAAAATATTATTATTGTTGTCCTATTATTATCCCAGAAGAAATAGCCCAATTCATGAGTTACATTATGTATTTGCAATATTCTACAAAAAGAAAAAAAGCAAGTCAGCTTTTGTTGATGGGGTAGATAAATCATATCGTCTCATAGAACGGCTCGATTTTTCGTAATTATTACTACAGGAAAAGCTTTATTTAAAAGAAAATGTTTGGGAAATTCATGGGAAAAGTCGGCAATTCTCTCGTGTAGAATTAAATAAATTTATATAAAAGAACAAAAAACCGCAATTAATATATCGCTGATGAGTTGTACCTATGTGCCGCTATCAGTTAGATAAACGATGTTAGATATTTTAAGGCCATTGTCCAGCTTTGGACATTAAGGTGGTGAAACGAAAGTTAAAAGTTTACCAGAAGGGAGGCCCGCAGTTGCGCCGGCGACGAGACCGGCGGGCGGCCCGACGGCGGCGGCCTGCGACACCGCGCTCTCGATGCTGTTGGCCGCGTTGAAGAGCAGTCGGCACAGCTCACACACGCCCGCTGATAAGGCTGGATACAAAAAGACAACACTCATTATTGTAGACACTTTTTTAAAGTTACTAAGAACTACCATTGCAGTGTATTTCGGCCAGGGCTTGTTCATTGTTCAAAATGCTGAAATCTTGTGTAGGTACTTAGGTACTCTAGTCAATCAACAATAGTACGACTAAGTATCTTAGTAAGTTTTAATCTTTATAATGCGTGTGGTTAGTTCAAGGTGTGAGCAGTCCGAGCGTGCGGCAGCAGAGTAAATGTTTTTTCTATGGCGGCAGCCACCAATGGCCACCGTTCGCTGGGCCGGGGCCGTGAATGTGCACCTTAATATCGTTGTAATAAGGACCTCAGTTGTAAGACAATGTCGTTTGTGGTCGTTAAGGAAATGTCAGAGCGGTGTGGCTCGTACATCGGGGGCAGCACCTGGGTCGAGGTGAGAGCAGCCGGGCGCGCCGGGCGGCAGTCGCCGGTGGTCGCCGCTCGCCGGGCCAGCGCCGTGAATGTGCACTTTAATGTCGTTTTAACAAGGACCTCAGTTGTAAGACAATGTCGTTGTGTGGACGTTAGGGAGATGTCAGAGCGGTGTGGCTCGTACATCGGGGGCAGCACCTGGGTCGAGGTGAGAGCAGCCGGGCGCGCCGGGCGGCAGTCGCCGGTGGTCGCCGCTCGCCGGGCCAGCGCCGTGAATGTGCACTTTAATGTCGTTTTAACAAGGACCTCAGTTGTAAGACAATGTCGTTGTGTGGACGTTAGGGAGATGTCAGAGCGGTGTGGCTCGTACATCGGGGGCAGCACCTGGGTCGAGGTGAGAGCAGCCGGGCGCGCCGGGCGGCAGCCGCCGGTGGTCGCCGCTCGCCGGGCCGCCTCCGTGCACGTGCACCTTTATGTTGTTGCGGACTAGGTGCGGCTTGATCTCTTCGAACCACACGTCGCATAGCTGAAAAGAAAAAATAACAGCATTACTTTTTTCTTTTATCGAGTGGGTTGCCAGCTGAGATCACTACCCTGGTGGGCATTGTGAACCGACCGATGACTTAGTATGCCTTCCAGAAATCATGTAACTTATCAAAAATCGGATTAATTTTATTACAAGTTCTCATGAAGCCACCTAGCTAAGTGGCTTAGCGCAGCTCTGTCGTTAGATAGTCGAGTAGGCATGACACTTGGTCCTAGGTCCAACGCCACCAGGTGGCGTTGGCGTCATGTTACAGCAACGTGCTTTGACTTCGGTTTCCGAAAACTTTAGACTTTAATTTCATAACAATCCAAGGGATCGAAGACAAAAGAGGTACCTTTTATTGACTTCGCTCTGAAAATATTTGCTCAAACATTGTCACAGGCACTTACACCAACGAGTGCGTTTTCCAAGTCGTATCGCAGGCTCTTCGGTATTTTGCTTTTGCTCGTACTTCTGACGGTGGGTTGCTTTGCCTGGAGGTTCGAGGAAACCGAGTCGCCTGAGGCCTTGACGACCGACTGTCGGCCTCGGGGGGCCTCTAAGGCAGCCCCGGCGGCCTTTCTCGACCGCTGCTGAGACATCATTGGCCTAAATTAAAACGTCCCGAACATGTAAACACAAGCACAACACCAGCGATGCGTCGCATTAACACCAACTCCCTGGAAAAATCATTAAAAATGTATGTGGTATACAAAAGGGAACATCAAAATACGCACTTTCAACTGTTCTGACAATTATTTTTTTAAGTGTCAAACATAATTAATCATCGTGACAAGTGTTTGTATAGAGTTCCTATTTGTTTGGTGAAAAAAAAAAATAATAATTCTTCAACTACCCTACTATACGCCAAGATCTAAAGGCACGGTACCAAAGTAAATACGATACATTCAACAAGCGAAAAGTAGAATAACCACCGTAAATAACAGTAAATATAATTTATAGTTTATAAATAGAAAATGGAATACATTAATTGGAAAAACGGTTTATTTATAAGCGGGCCAATGTTGTGTGGCCTTGCGTTCAAATTAATTAAGAAAAGAATTGATAGAAAATATGATTATTCATTCAACGAAGTGTTATTCTACGGGGATTCAGCCGACGAGGAAAAAGTCAAGAAAACAGGCTTGAACAATCTTTACTGCATTAACTTTGTGTTGTCTAACGCTTGCCGATCGGTGGACGTGTGCGTGCCGAGTCTTGAGAGCGAGACCATCACAAAATGTCTGATAAACGTGCATCTAAAGAACAAAGCGAAGGTTAGAATTGCTATACACAACAGTGATCAGTTTGGGAACTTGAAGTCGTTGGCACAGCACGGCATCGAAGTGAAGGTGATCAAGTCCGAGAGGATTGAACATGAGTTCGCGTTGATCGATGCGTGTGAAGCGACTTCTGATGGGCTGGCGGTGATGGGCTCGCTGGACTATGAGACGGCGAGGGTGAACTGCAATAAGGACATGACGATGCTCACCTCGCAACCCGAAGTGGTGACGAACCTCCAAAGAGAATTCAACAGAATCTGGAATTCCACGCCGGACGTTTTCGGGGCCAAGGAAGGCAAGCCCGACTTAATGCTCAACGATACCCGCTAGATTCACCCGCTTTCTTTTATCATTTAACTAACAATAATGGTTTTAAATAAAAGTGTGTCTGTAACAAAAATATTTTGATTTTATTTCATTCGTCTAGTGATTTAAAGCAAAAATTACATCAATTGTATTTTATTCTCATTAAATTTATTTGTACTCGAGAGCTCTAGCCTAATACACTCACAACAAACATGCCAGTATAGAACTATGCAACTTCATTGGTGATGCTTTATCACAGTTCTTTTGAATTTCTTTGTAACAATAAAACTGATGATTTATTTCAATAGGTTACTATAAAACATTTTTACTGGCATGGATCACGATTTCTACAACACACTTGATAAATAAGATGGGAATACTGAAACACTCGAATACACAAATTTGGCTATCATACAAATTTTTAAATATTAATCTATTAAAATATACAGTCAATTTAACTTAGCCCAGTATGAAGTTAAAATCCGTTACATTAAGAACCGTTTCTTATTATGAAAAATTTNAAAATAATTATCGCCAGTTTTAACGACAATAGTAAACAAAATGTCGAGTGTTTCAAAATCATAATAATTTAACGATTTGACTTCACTACATACTACAACAGATCGACAGTCACATACATAAGAGGAAAGTTTTATGCAGGACAGTATTCGAACCAGAAATAGGAATGCACTTTTAGCAGTCACATTTAGGATTAATAAACACATTAGACACTTTACGCATATCGAGTTTATAGAAAATTATTTCAATATCAAGAATCAAAACATTTTAAATATCAATTATATTCTCAAATCATATTTGATGATTGAAAAAATTAAGTGTGCATTTTAAGTATTCGGGCTTTGCCCTAAATTCAGCTTAGAATATCCACTAAGTATTCAATAAATTAATTGTTTAATTTTTTAGATTGTTAAAGCAACATGTATTTTGAGGATAAAATATTCCTTAAAATAATAAATTGATTTTAAAATTAATATGATCAAATCTACATGTACATTTCTGTGGTAAACTAGCGTATTTTTCAATAATAATCTTGTTATAAAAATATCATTATAAGACCTGATCATGATAGTAGAAACTATTTTACAAAACTGGGCGCCTAAATTAAACTAATAATAAAATTATTATACATTACATGAGGCATCATTTAACATCTTACACAATATCGCATACCCACAAGTGCAGCCTTTCTCACTAAACCATGTCCATTTGATGATCGCCAAGTTCATCCCATAACTTAAAAAATATAACGGAGTCTAATATTTTTTCTGTAAACTACATTGATCTACAAAGTAACAAAACTAAGAAATAAATAAACTGCAACATTTAAAATATTCGTTAGTTTTGAGAACATAAAAAACAAGTTCTATTAAAAAATATGCAATTGGTTTAGACAATTCATTTAAGATATCCAAGTTACACCTTAAAACCTACTGCATAGCAGCTACGCAACACGAGGTATAAAAACTAGTTTTCGTTTGAATTAAAAATAATTAGGAATACAGACGTAAGTAAAAAATTACAAAGACTATAACAATTTCATTAATTCTTGAGTGAATAAAATTGTATTACAATTAAATGATTTATTTATTTATAACCTTTGTCAGAAAATAATAGTCTTACATTGTAAGACAGAATGCATTGCTAATAAGTACATAAAAATCATAATCCTAAGTAGAGGTTATAAATTTATACAAAAGTGTAACATTGGGGTTTCAAATTATAGTACATTACAGTATTCAGATAGACATTCCGCAGTCAGTATATTAACAAAACTTAATAATGAAACAATATCCGCACAATAAACAATAAAACTTATGGCTAACACAAGTTCAATACACAAGTGACTAGCGGAGTGGACACTCGACGGAGAGAAGTGCAGCGGACATGTTAAGTGTTCAACGGGCTTCGGCCACTAGTCACTGGCGCTCGAGAGTGGATGTCATACGTCAACCTCAATGTCGCTAGTGCCGTCGTGATCGTCGTTGTCTTGGTCTTGGTCGTGTCCTGTAGAGTGCGACGAGCCGCCGTCGTCGTGCGATCCTTGCGGCGAACACGGGCCGTATTCGTGTTCGTGCGGCGAACTTAGCTCGTCGTCTGGCGAGCCCGCTAAATCTTCATCCATCATTATCGTAGCTGGTAGCGACGGGGATACTTCTTGTAATTGACTTGAATATACTGAAACGGCAATGGTAACTAAGTTTAGAATACAAACTTTTTATTTTACAATAAACATGGTAAAAATAGTGATTTAAATAAATAATCATGTTTTTCTAATTAGTAATAAAGGACAATGNTTAATATGTAAGTATTCAAAAAGTAAGAGATTAATTTTGATACTTTACTGCTGTGCCCAGGAATCTAAGGCGGTTTCTGACAATGTCCTTTAAATTGTATTTATTCCTGACAAATTTAACGTCATCATGTCATGCAGTATCAAAAATAGGACAACTCATTGCCTTATGATGAGCAATGCAAACATTTTGTTAATACATAACTACATAAATCTTACCTTTAATATTAGATGATTTGAGATCTGCACTAAAATTAAGAGATTCCTCCATAGCTTCTATGGTTAGTGTATCGTCAAGACTGTCCATGGAGCCGGAGCACGATGGTGAACTGTCAGCACTGTTGAGGGACAGCTGCAGCGTGTCCAGCTGAGGTATGTGTGGTCTCACCTGAAAAGGTATTTTATTGTCACATTTAGTTAGGTAGAAACACATTAAGTGGCATATACTTAACAATTTAGAAGTTGAAAAATCAATATTGAGTTACATAGATCTAACTGCCTGAACGATTAACATAAATTAATCATTTATTGTGTCATCTATTTACTAGCAAATTAAATTGTGAAATGCAAACTCATTTTAGCTATAGAATTAACTTATTTTCTAAAAGATAGATGATATAATATAGATATATAATTTTGAATCATTAATTAGCTCAGCATTTCTTATTTATAAAAAAATTATGGCCTCTTTTATTTAGACACTCACCTTCATGCCGTCTGGCCTATGTGGATTTCTGCATCCTTTACATTTACATTCAGTACATGGTTTGCTATCAACGTAGCATGGGCATCTTTGACCACAGCAAGTTAATTTCCCAGGTGTAGCTGTCGCGTTGCCACACCGACAACCTTTGCGTTTACTGCTTGCCGAATTACGAGATCTATTTGACGGTTTCTTAAAACTTGAACTGGACTGGAATGAAAAGGAGGTTTATGGGAATTAAAACAAACACATATTAAGTAATTCAGATATTTACTTTGCATCAAAAAATTACATTTCAGTGTAAAACTACTAACACTTGGGTATATTGCAGTACGAAAGGTATTGTAAATTTTACCGATTTACATAATTAACACAAAGGTCAAAGTTACCTTGCTTTCTCTTGGTGGCGGTTCAACCTGAGGAGGTGGTTCAGTATCATCTACTGCTTTTCTTTTTATTGTAATTTTATTGCCAGAGCCTGCATACATTACAGAATAAAGTGGTGAGCCATTTGATACAGCTCTAGAATTTGGAGAGTCCTTGCTAGAAGATCTTGTTTCTGTAGTGCTCGAGGAAGCTCCTTGTGTCTGTGTCGATGCAGAATTTGTATACACACATGGCAATATACTGTAAGCAGACTTGGAGAGTCCTGCTGTGCTTTTGTAGTCATCAGAGAAGCCAGCACCCTCTTGAATCAAGTCGATCAAGCCCGAGCTGGCCACTGTGCCGCCGTTCACTCCTGCCGCGACTTCATCTTCCTCTAGTAACGTTTTGTACACATTAGTACCCATAAAATATTCACATAGCTTCTTGTAACACTGGAGAAGTATTCGTAACTGCAAATTTTCAGCGTAATTCTCGTAGTCTTTGCACCAATTACAAGAAGGCTTGAGTTTTTTTCTACCACCTTTACATTTTTTACACACGTGATGCTGGCATCCTGAGCCCGTGGGAGTGTAGGGTGCCTTCAATAAATTACCGCAGACTGTACAGGATAAAGACTGGCGCAAGTAAGGAACCAAGCGAAAAAGATCTGTCCAAGAAGACTTATCTGCTGCGTCGGCCAGTATAATCAAACGACATGTTGATACATATAAACTGGTTGCATTCATCTTCATGAGTATATTTGGAATTTTATCTCAGGCATTTACGAGTAAATAAATTGTTTACACCAAAATATTACACAGCCAAAAAGCCGCAAACGTTTCTTCAAAACGTCAATCAAAAGCTGTCAAGAAAGTGTCAAAAAAACGAATGTCAAGCTTCCCAATGACATTTGGTGTTTTTACTAAAGTACTGGCATCGAGCCTGTGATATTACAGTCAAAATAACGTTATTTAACGGTATCAAACAGAAAATAACTAGTTAAAAAAAAGTTCTTCGAGCATATAGGTATAAAGGGACACTGCATTGATTTACTTCTGTAAGTACGTTAACAAACTGTATTCTAATGTTAATGTGTAAAAATAAACGAATTCAAAACATTAAATCATATTAAAATCGCTAATGAACTCAGTACATCAGTAGACTTGATATTGGCTGATGATAATCTTCTTTTGTCGGGTAGGTAGTTGTTTTGAGCCACAACCGTTTGGTGTGAAACCAGAGTGTGAAACATTAAAGTTATGGCGCCAATAATACATTTCTTTTCATACAATCGTAACTTAATCTAGTCACAACTTGGTTTAGAGGACATTATATCTAGCCATAGAGGAATTAGATTCTCTAAGTATCTTGCCGACCTTACATCGTTTAATAGGCATACCTACCCTAGATCGAACTTATAACTGAGCCACAGGATCCAACCCTTTGGTTATCTGATGTTGATTATGCAGTAATAATCATGCTGGATGAATGGAATACTATTATTACTTTTTTTAGCAACTTACGAGTACCATTTTAGTTCAATTTAGAGTAGGTTTGGTCCTCTTTCCGAGTTGACTGGCTGAGATCGCTTCCTAGCTATAAGACTGTGACTTCTCAACTTTCGTATTTTGTAGAATTATGCCCGCTTTCACCATCAATCCCTAATTTTTAAATGACCCCTATGGTAACACAACAGGAATTTTGTTTTCATAGGGTCACTTAAAAATTAGGGATTGGTGGTGAAAACGGGCATTAGAACCTTTATGTGGGGAGGGATTAGGGAAGTGTTAAATATGAGACGTGGGACGCGAGTGAAACAACTGCTTGCTAAAGACACACTGGTTTATTTCTACAACATGGGTGGTGGTCACATACATTTGTTAATATATAACTACCCACATACACAACATCTCCTCCCCTCATTCCTTTACATATTAACATTTACGTTCTTACACAACAATTATTACAAATATTTTTTATAATCTACTCTAGGGATGTTTCGCAGCAACCTCGTGGGGTTAACAGGAAGATAAAAGATAAATATTTAATTTAAGTTTAGGTCTATTTTCTGATAATTAGGAGTGTTTATACTTAATTTGACAACGCTTTTGTTAAAATGATGGCTTCTTTGGACATCATCTTCTGTAAAACAGCAAGACTTGATACTCTACACTGATTGAACCCAGAAACAAGCTTCTATAAGAGTTTGTTTAGCGCATCGCGATCGCGAATTCTTATTCGAATTTAGTCTCATTTCATTCGAAGAGCAACGGACCTCCATTCCCACCCATTTAACCAATTGAAGACACTTAAGTAGCTGTCTGTGTGCCATGCTATATACCTATATGAATATACGAAGACATTACATCAAAACAGTGCTTGGATTTGCATAATAAATTATTTTTCCAAATTAATTTGTCAATACTCATTAATCAGTACCTTTCCTTATCACATTGTTGATACAAACAATAGCGTTAATTTGCTCGTCACACACAGGAACCGTAGAATAAACATAATAATGAACAGTCGAACCACCAATCGGGGCGTTTAGATATGACCGTCTATTATAAGTATTAGTCGTATCTGGCCCAAATGAGCGTATCGAGTCGTTATTGTCTCGGAGTCGCTAGCGGTGAGCAGATACGGGGTGCTCCGTGGAAGGACGTGATAAAAGATTACGGTCGCATCAGTCTCAGTTGATCCTCCAGTGGGGAAGGAGCCATCTCGCCACGAATCAGTGGGCGACCAGCTAATTGGATCAACGAATGCCTTCCGTCGCTGATTGCAGCGAGTGAATCTCCCGCGTGCACGGACCCGATGATCGGGGGAATCGATTGTGTTCTGTGATTGTGATGTGGACCCACCTTGACTTGTGATCAACATCGCTTCAGCGATGCTATAGTGTATAGTTTTCTTCAGATTCACCATGTATAGGTCAGTATCGCTACTACTTGCTTGAACTAAATGAAGAATTTAGGGTAAGCATTAGCAACAAAGATTATTTACCTAATAACTAACATCATTTGGATTACTTTTGTTAAATATAGCCAATTATCTAACTAGGTAACTAATTATTTACACATTTTCGAAAAAGTAAAACACCCTAAATTAAATGGCTAAGGCTAAATTACATAAGTAGGTAGCAGATACCTACCACTTATATTAAAATCCCTAACTGCCTACATGTAAATAACATGACACTAAACTTAATTCGAAACAATATTTCTAGGGATAATTGTGTTTAATTAATTATCGTAAGAAAAATAGTTAATTACCCTATTTCTTATCAATAAAATAATACTTAACTACTTTTAGTAGGTAACCTCCTACACGTAGAGACCACAAAATTTGTGTAGAGACAAATTAGTAGGTATTAATTAATGGGTATTTGATGGTTTTTTTCTGATGCTCTACGTTCGTGAATTGTTGCATTATAAAGTTAAACGTTCATAATTATGACCATCAAATATTTTCAAACGTATTGATAATTATTGAAATTATTACCTCTCGTTTATGAGGACCAAATTGGTGTCGTCAATAACACTAGTTTTCAATGAGGGCTATCGTTTTTATACTTAACAGTTGGCACCCCTGGCGATTGACAGGACCTTACTCTACAGTGGCGCCATCTTGATGAGTGCAAATGCGATAGTCCTCCTCCTTACCACTTTAGCACCCACCAGTTGGTGCCACTGTCTTCGCTACTAGCAAGTGACAGGACCTTACTCTACAGTGGCGCAAACTGGTGAGCGCTAAAACGATAGCCCTCATTGAAGAATAGCCTCTTACTTATTATGAGTTGTTTCTCGGGCAAATACTCCACTACTAAAGATAGAGATGTAATTACAGATAGGTTAATATCTAAAAATCTCGACTTCCATAGTCGACTGCCTCGGGTTCCTAAACATAGAAAAACGATTCATTTTACAGATAGACATTTAAAATCATATTATTTTAAACTGGTCGACAAAGACCAGAAAACGAATGACTTAGGATTAGCGAACTTAGTAGAACCTAGGTCTAAATTGGTAACGTGATAATCCCAGATTTAATAACGCCGCTGAAATATAGCTTGATGAAATAGGAACAATGAAATCATATCACCTACATTTAGGTCAACTACAAAAAAATCTGACTAAAAATAATGTAGAGTCAAATATTGCGGTAGATACTCTACCCTGTGTCTGCTACTCAAAACCGTTTTTATTCGATTAGGCTTACTGGGATTTAACTGTCCTTAAAACAGAATTCGATACAAGGCTAATTTAAATATTTTCGACAGAGTATACTTATATAATAATAATAATAATAATTTTTACGCTCATGCATGGGGCAGNGAATAAAGAGATAATAATAAATCTTTCGACAATTTCACACAGCGCCAGCTAGCCCCAAAGTAAGCAACTTAATGCTTGTGTTATGGGTGCTAGCTTAACGGATATACTACTTATATGTATATATACTTTTTTTTTAAATACATAAATATTATACATAGTTACACCCAGACCCGTCACAGAAATTAAAATTCATCATTATTCACAATTACTTATTAATTTAGTTATACTCGTATGTACCCAATTATTCGATATCTAACGAATGTCACATAGCAATTAACGTTTGTTTGCCTCTTAATTACTTTCTCTAAGAAAGGGATATTATAAACAATAGAAGTGTATTCATTTGATAAGAACGATGTCACTATTAGGGAATAATGAGAAGAATAAACAATATACAATATCATTTGTTTATCATACAAATTATCCTGTATTATCAAAGGAGATCTCCAAGTTTCTAATTTTATCGCTAATTAAAGTGGCATTATTAGGAAGGGAGATGAAGGGATGTGCCGAATTGATCTAATAGAAAGTATTTTCATGATTTCGTTCGAAGATGGGTGGTTAATTAAAGAAAAAGAAAGATGTGAGCGACGATCTCGAATGACTATAAGGTCGAACATCCACCCTCGGCCTGATCATCACTCACCATCAGGTGAGATACAGGTCAAGAGCTTCCTCGTTGTGAATAAAAGAAACATACAAAATATAACTTTTCCAATTAGGTACCTACGATCCAGTGAAGACTGGCTTTGCTTTGACTGAAATCAAAATAATCATAGTATGTGCCAGAACACAACAACAATTAACTACCAAGGCATAATAAAAAACATGTAGAGAAAGGGATAACCCGAGTGATAGGTATTCTAAACATCAATTTTCATGAGTCAATAAATAATATTACCAATCACGATATTATTAGAAAATTCGTCCACTTTTGTGACGTAGCTAAATAAATTCCGGTAAGAAAGCCGATTATAATGATAAATAATAATGCAATTAACACTAATGATTGTAATTTTGTTTAGTAGGTAAGTAATAAACATCCTTATGTTCCAATCAGTTCGTCTATCGTAAGGTTTGTTGACTGAATGAGAAGACGTGGTTTTAAAGTGTCTGTAAATACCAACTATGTTAACTTTTGTCCGTTCAAAAATGACCTAACTTATAGAGTGATCTCTTGTGGTAAGCTAAAATACTTGTATTACGATTAGCCTAGGTTCATCACCACAATAGTCGAGCGGTGGCAGGAATCGAACCCGCGTTCCTCGGATCATGAGCCAGTCCGACACCTAAACCATTCGGCTAAAATTTTGTCGCTTCAAAATATCCCTTCTATCTTACTGTTCCAAAGATGAACTATCGAGACGAATGGATGTTGTAAAGCGAAGATTTGTCTGGAATCTGGTTCTTAACCAGGATCTAAAACATCTTCATCATGTTGATTTGCTAATTTTGTCTTATGTTTAATCTTTTTTGTAGAAAATTGACATACCTACAAAAATACCCAGTAATATAATGAACTGTATCATTTGTTTAGTTCTGCATCTGTTGGGGCGTGGACAGATCATAAAGATCAATCAGACAATTGGGGCCGCCACGCACGCTGCGTAGGAGTGTCCCTCACAATGCGTGCGGCTTCC